TATCACGACAGGGATGAGCATGTCACTAGTGAACAAAATATCTCTTCTTATTTGGGAAAGACTGGAATATTTAATGCTAGGTTTTTAATATATATTGCGTTCAAGTTTCTGCTGGAGTAACTAGTATTTCACAAATAAATGTGGTCCACCTTGAAGTAAAAATTGCTGAATAGGGGTCGTCAGCTTTAGTTTCCAACGTTTGTGTCGAGAAAAAAAGGTTCAAGAACTTCCTGTTCCATCGCTTCACCTTTACATCAAGCAAGCGACTGCACAGGCAGTACAGTAATAAAAAGTTCAGCGCTATAGATAAAGGCACTCGGATGATTCCTGTAGAATAGCCACCGTTCTAACTATTACGCAGGCGTATCGCAAGACGTAGTTTTCTACAAGCACATGAGCAGACTTCCGTTTCAAAAAAAAATGTAGAGAAAAAGTCAGAGACAGAAGAAGCATGAGCTAACCTAGGACGACGTCATTGAAAGACGCGTTGCATTCCACTATGCCTCCAGGGCACGGTCTTTCGTTTGATTCGCCCGCGCCGTGTGTTTGTGTTGTTTGTCTTTTTCACATCAGGAACAGAAGAACCGGCGGCGGCACCCAACTGCGCCTTGCGTTTGTTCGATCTCACTGCCATTCAAAAAAAAAAAAAAATGCGCCTCGAGCATTGGCGGCAGCCATTCAGACCACACGTGTCCGAGTTACACACAGAGCACTCCCCCCCCCCCCCCCCCAAGTACATTTTAGTGCAGCGTTCGCATTGACAAGTACTCGCCCGGCACCAACTCAAAGGCGGCCCTGCCTAATTGGGGAGTCACCGCGGCCGTCTTTGTCGCCGTTCAGCTTGCGAGTGCGTTCCTTCTTTCTTTTTTTGCCGCTATGTTGTGCTACCTTGCTGTGCACATGGTATTCTGTGGCACGACTCCACCATGGTGCACGTCATAAAAATAAATACATAAACAAATAAATAAATACGTACCAGAACTGCGCCAACTGTTAATCCTATTAAATTTTCGGGACAGTTTAGGTATGGAAGGCTTGAAAGAAGCGAACTTCCGTTGAGAGATCCCTTTCTTAAGGTATTACTCAACGCTTCTTCTTTATTTTAGAAATAATGGAGTTCACTAGTACTGAATATATCTTTAACGCACCATCACACCTTAATATTCCTTCATTACGCTTGTCAAAGTTCACAATACTGCTCTCCCACTGTGTAAGTAAAAAAAAAAAAAGAACGCAGTACATGGGTGAAAAAGATGCAGCAGGGCTCTAGTTGTACTCTAGGAGAAGATTATATTGCAGTACTGCCCATGCATTTCACATTTACTATCAAGAAATATTATAATGAAACTGCTTTGTTTAAGATAAGAAAATTTGTTAGAGGACAAACATTCCATAATCACTAGTTCAATCACTAGTGCAACGATCGCTTACTCTATATACAATCAAACAGCCACTTTACTATTTTGTTAGCCAGTGGTTATTTAATTGATTATGCATTCGATATGTCGTTCATACGATTATAGTTTAAAAATTGCTACCTTGTACAGGTCCCTGGCATATTGAACCATAGATTATGAGAGACGCCGTAGTGAAGGGCTCCAGAAATTTCGACCACCTGGGGTTCTTTAACGTGCACCCAAATCTGAGTACACGGGCCTACACCATCTCCGCCTCCATCGGAAATGCAGCCGCCACAGCCGGGATTCGATCCCGTGGCCTGCGAGTCAGCAGCCGAGTACCTTAGCCACTAGACCACCGTGGCGGGGTGGCATATTGAAGATGCTTTAAACAACTTTTCGTGAGGGGATGTTCGACTTAATGCTGGGTATAAACTTGACAGTACTTAACATTTAGTCCGTGACGGCAGTGTAGTGGTTACAGTTCTTGGCTCCTCATCCGAAGGTTGCAGGTTCGATCCCCGTCGGAGCGGTCGCATTCCGCAGGCGGCGAAATGCTAACAGCCCGTGTAATGTGCTGGCAGAATGTTTTTTCAACTACATTGTTCCCCACTTGTAGAACTTCTGAACGCGTCTCCCATCCTTTCTTTAGAAGCGGCACGTCGCCGGTTGCAGAAGTTAGAATATTTCACCATCATGACAGATCAGAATCTCGCGTGTCAAACGACGGCGGCGACATTTCCCGAACCACCAAAAGTGATTTCTGCGTATTTAATCACCTGAAAACAAAGCCCCCGGAAACTAAGTAAACCATGCTCAAGCGTAGATGATGCCGATCAGTCATGCAGCTATTCGCGAGCCATGGAGGACATGCCGCGAGCAGACGAAAAGTGTACTGGTTGCCAGAAACCCCGAACTAATCCGCTGAAGTATCGGCTTTCCCCGCCAGAATGCCGATGTGAGAAACAGGTTGCGGTCATCCGTCCGCAAGCCGCGCGGACGAGTCGCGAACGAGGGGATTCGCTGATGTGAGGTCACGTGACGCGCCGTCCGTCCCGCCACATCCCCATTCGGTCCGTCGTCTGAATGCACCATAGAGAACACCAGGTGGCCTAACTTTCCGGAGCCCTGTGCTGTGGGGTAGCTCATGATCGTATGGTAGTTTTTGCGACACAAAGAGTAGATACTATTTTCGTGATTAATTATTTGACATTTTGATTTCTAGATTAAGTTACGTTCGCTTGAGTAATGTAGCAACATCTGTGCCATCTGTGACAGGCAATTGTTGCGAATTCGGTAAAAGCACGAGCAACAGCCGAGGTATTACCTAAACGAAACTTATCAGGCCAATAAATAAGTGTTAGTATGGAGGGCCGTAGAAGCAACAATGACTAGATAATTTAGTCAGTGGAGCGGACGTAGCTGAAATAAACCGCGGCGCAATGACCTCTCCATTTTTTTTCGTTCTTTTAGTCTTTTTTTTTTTGTGTGGTCATCTTGGTTTTTTTTTCTCCCCTCTTATTCATCGTATACCTGATAGGAAAGTAGAATAGCCAGTCACAACTACGCCCGTCAAACATCCACGCCCCTGTACAGCCATTTTTTTTTTTGTGTTCAGCCTTAAATCCGCGATACTTCTAGCCACCTTTCACCGCGCCAACGTATTAAATCGCGGAGGATCCTTCGAACCTTATAACGCGGCTGCCGACCCTTTGAAGATGGTTCACTACAGAGGTGGTCGGAGCGCGTGTTTTCTCGCAACAGTCAAGTGTCGATCCGGCACGTTCACCTCTCAAGACCATCGAGTTTCATAGGTGTGCGCAGGGTTTTCCTTTTTTTGGGGGGGGGGGGGGGCGAAGGGTCGTTTAAGTGCTTTCCCCTCCATGACATGTCAATGTATGGGGCTGACTTGCACCCAACCTCACCCTCCCGTGCGCATGCCAATGGGGAACTCTTTTGCTTTCCAAGCATACGGCTACAAAACACATCGAGTAGATAGCATAATGAAGTTACTGGTGTGTGGGAGTGGGCTTGATGGCTTGCGTCAGTGAGTGAAAACGTCGCAATATTGCAAATGGCGATAGAAGGAAAGACAACATCAAGCTGTAGCGTTTCGGCAGCAAACTCTGGATCAAAAATCATATTGCATTTAATATCGCCGGCGAGGCACACACGGAACCCTCTAGAAGTCGAGTGCGTCCCTTATCCACCGGATATTGCACACCGTGGCGTGCCCGCCGCTTCTCATTGGTCGCTCCGGCTCCTGCTCGGTGCCCAGACACGAAACGCGAAGGCGGCAGTTCTCGTCTTCCTGACAGGACAGCCCCGCTTCAATAAAAATAGATCCTTACCCCAACGCCTGAGAAATTCGCGGCGATGGCACCGATTGCACGCGACTCGAGAAAGAGATGAAAGAGATTTCGAAAGTGAATGAAATGAAAGTGCGATTTTTGGCGTGAGTGTCGGAAGCAGTTTTCAATTTTCTGTATGTGTATGATAACCACGTCTAAGAGGGCTGTTATGCTACCCTAAGGACCGTGCTGCCGAGGCAGAGGGATCTTCCGAGTTATGACTTAAACTTCTTGAGTTCATTGCATTACTCTCCTCTGCGCTCTCTCAGCATGCACTCACGTCTTACCTTCCACATTTGCCTAAGACGCGGGAGTCCAAATGAAGTGCTAGAGTTGTCAGGAGACTCGTACTCGCGAATTGAAGCAAATGGAGCTTTTGAAGGGCGTCATTATGACAGACATCGCATTTGCGAGGTGTTCAAGATTAGTCCTCTGTCACCTGAGCGCTCATTTTTTATGCTGCGCGAATTAAACAGAGAAAGCTCGGTGGGGCCGTATGAAAGCTTAACCGCAGGCTTTGGTGAATTCTAAAGAAAAATTAACGCAACTTTCCCCACGTGGTCAACAATGCTTAATTATATTACAATGTAAGTTTAAACGTCGGCCTATCTGATAACCTTGGGCTGCTTATAGAATAGGGTACGCAAATATTACTTTCGTTGCGTATACTATGTAATTTTCCTCACTTATCATGCGTACCAAAGAGGACAGCGTATGATATAGGCGCAGAGGCGACGAGCGCTAACGCAAAGCTTTGCATATTCTATGCTGCTAAACCTCTTTATTAAAGGGTTCGTGAAAAGGTTGCCCCTAAAACGACATAGCGAAACCACAGGCAGTCACACTCACTAACCGAGTGACATTTTAGGTAATGTCAGCCTAACAAGAGTAGATCTGCAAGGGCGTTTATCGTGGCAACGAGCCCATGCTCGAAAAGTGTCCATGGAGGTCTACTGTTCTGAGGCTGACGCCACCTAGTTGGTACGTGTCGCTGGCGGTGGTTTCTCATTGTCGTTTTAGGAGCGATGTTTCGCGACCGCTTTAATTAATGCCACTGCAATAATGGTATGCGGTGAGACTAGAACGGTTACTGCCGTACTCTTTATGAGCTTATCTGCCGACATGGGTGTATCAGGAATGGTATGACATGTCCAAACTACGAAACTTTAGCTTCGGTGATATGAGTTTATTCTTGGCGCCTTGCTGAGATTGCCTGCTCACTTATGGGTTTTCACCCGTTCTCTCTGCCCAGCGTCAAGTCACGGAGGCGGTGGCCGCTCGCCGCGCATCACAGAGCAGCCGGTGGACGTGGTGGTCCGCAAGCACGAGCCGGTGACGCTGAGGTGCGGCGCCGACGGCGACCCTCCTCCGCGAATCGCGTGGTACCACGACGGCAGACCCGTGCGCAACTCGGCCACGCGCATGGTCTTGCCCGAGGGTCAGCTCTTCTTCCTGCAAGTGCAGCACAGCCGCCGGGAACAGGACACAGGACTGTACTGGTGCACGGCCACCAACGCAGTGGGGACAGTCCGCTCCCGAAACGCTAGCGTCGAGCTCGCTGGTGAGTCAAACATCTTTTCTTATTAGTACTTGCACGTAGTGGAAGGGTTAGCGGTTTATTCGTGTGTGTTTAGCATTCCGTAAGAAAGCTAGCACCACCGTCTGCGCTTCTGTACATCTGTACTTAAATCACAATATGCCTTCGATTATGATTGTAAATCCAAATTTTATGTTTCTTGAACGGGTTTCCTGATTATTTAACGGGTTCCCTGTTAGCAGCCCTCATGAATGTCTTTTCTTGCCATGGTGGTGAATAGATGCTCATTATGCTGCTCGAATAGTTGCTCCAGTTGTTACTTCAGCACTTGCCGTATATATTCTATTCGTTCGTCTATATATGCGTAGCGCGCGGCTTACCACTGCCGAATACCAAAATATGTGTTTGGTTAGGTTCTACAGATATGAATGAGCGACATTCGAATGGAACCAACAGGATTTAACTGCATTTGTGCACGCCCCCTAGCAAAGAGATTATGCACTCCCAGTTTTGTACTACTTAACCATACACTTAACGTTGCTTAACGTGCGAGTTATCTCTATCATTCAAGAAGACATTGCACATTATCCTTTGGTACCTAATTGGTCCGTTGTAAGCAAATAATTCTTAGCTTTATTGGCAAGCGAGCATACAGTGATGTGATTTACAGAGTGATGTGCTTGCTCTAAGCAGGGGCTCCAAGTTACATTGCGCCTTTACGGGCGTTGATTACCTAACACTAGGACGAAAAAATTATTCTTGTTGCAAGTTTTCTTGAAGGCGCAGTTCCTACGGGCCATGATTACGTATTTTGTCCAGGGAGAGCCAGTGTGTGCGACGTTAGCACTTGATTTATGCAGAGTGTAGCGAACGTGCGCACTGGTGGGGTCATGGGCAACGAAAGAGAAAACCCACTACAGGTCTTCAACCAGAGTTTTTAACGATGTTGACAGTGCAGATAGACCGACACATAACCCGTGTAACTGCCGACAAAGCACAGCATCTCTGAAAGAGCTTGCAATCAACCACGCAAGCTCATGTAACAAACATTTATGCATTCACTCTCGCATACACAATCTAAGCTGGAGTGCGCGTAGGTCAGCGTTTTACGGCTTTGGGCGACGCGTCGCGACCTCACGACGAGACAGCGCGCATAATCGGCGTTAAAAGTCATGGTTACTTTTTCGTGTGAACGGGATTCCCTCCTTGGTCAGAGCCGGTAGCGGTGATAAAAGAAGGCAGAGCCGACGGCTGGCGCTGGTGCCATTATTGGGCACCGATAAGCGGGCGGGCGTAAAAGCGGCTTTGAACTCGGACGCCCTTTTCGTGTCGTACGCGCTCGTTGCGATCGCTTTTTACGACGCCGCCGGTGACGACCTGCCTGACCGGCTGTGTCCTCCCGCTTGCCGCCTTTGCAGGCCGCTCATCGCCGCACGCCCACTCCTCGAGAGAGACAGACCACTGCCCTAATCTCGTTCGACATCCCGGCCGCGACGAGAGCTGGCTCGGCGCATATACGGCCGTAGGACATGAATCCGCGAACGTACGTGTATTGAAGAACTCGTTGTGCAAAAAATAAGATTGATTCGCGCCGCGTGAACGTAACGATTGCCGCCGCCAGGCGCCTCGCGTATCTTTTATGCCGCCGACATCGCCAGCCATCGGCCCCGAAAAGTCGTCGCGTGGGACGAAGAGTGGTCGCGAGAAATAGCCAGCTCGACAGGTTCAGGTTAGTGTCGCAAGAAAAAATCGCGGTTGTCCGTGCTTGCTCTCCTTCCCCGTTGTAGACGCAAACGAGAAAGTAAGACGAACGACTGTCAACCAGTGCAGTGAACGCTCTTGAGTAAAAGCTTACGTGGAAGTCGAAAGCGAGGCAAAACTCGGAATCGAGGTTAGAGTGCGTATACCTCGCGCGCTATCGGTTGCGCTCCCTGAGCACTTTAGTGCAGGCAAAGCTATCAAAAGTGGAATGCGTCATTCTTCATTTGAATAGCCGGGCGGTGACTCGAAGCGTGCGGTGTAGGATGAAGAGGCAATAAAAATTGTCGTAATCTGGAAGAGTTCTTCTCCGCATCAACAAAATGCTTGCTAAATCCAAGCTGGGGTATCTGCTCGGGACACGTCACACACCCGAGGAAGTTATGCGAATATGTAGTAGTTAATCACATACTGAGAGGTCGCGTTGATTCGCCGCAATGGAACTTGTAACAGTTCGATGCATGTTTACTACGAGCCGTTTCAAAACGTTACCCTGTAGCCTCTTATCTCTAAAGTTGCAGATAAGAGCCGACGGCAACTTTTTGATACAGTTGGCATAATTGAGGCCATCGATATCACCTTGTTTTTGGCTCTTTATGCTGAGTTACTTCAATCCAATCCAAGAAGAAATGGTCCAGATGGTGACCCATCGTGGTGTTCATGGTATATCTTGCGCAGTATCCGCGCGTTGCAAAGAAGAAATGGTTAATATTCCGATTGATTTGATTGATTCGTGGGGTTTAACGTCCCAAAACCACCATATGATTATGAGAGACGCCGTAGTGGAGGGCTCCGGAAATTTCGACCACCTGGGGTTCTTTAACGTGCGCCCAAATCTGAGCGCACGGGTCTACAACATTTCCGCCTCCATCCGAAATGCAGCCGCCGCAGCCGGGATTTCAACCCGCGACCTGCGGGTCAAATGGTTAATATTCCGTAACTGAGGTTTTACAGTAGGAATGGTGCTGTAGAACAGATGGAAAGTCATATTATAGACACACTAAATGTCCACAAGGTTATGTATACATTAAGCCGATTGAAAATGAGCACACTCCAGCCATATTCACGCCATCAAAGCTGTCAAACAGCATACCTGGGTCGCCTTTCATTTGGCCCTTCAAATCTTTTCTTTCGTCAGGCCCATTTACTTCTAAGTAATTTCTGTGTTGTTTCTTTGTTTAAGCTAAGACAGGTGTTTATTTCTGGTCAATGGGTCTGGTCAGCGGGGGAGGTCAAAGACTTCTCTCTTTCTGCTGAGGCTTTTCCGGTCACATCCAGCCTGCCTTCCGCCATTTCGGCGGAAACAGCTCCCTTTTTAATGCACTGTTTGAATAGTGCACATTTCATAAGCATCTTGGTTATCATTTCGTTTTAATTAGTTCTTCATTTATTCCACCCTCTGATCATGTTGCGTGCGCGAGAATCACTACTACTGTGCTAACGCTTCGACAACGACGACAATGACGGCAATACAGGGCTAAGAGACTAAGATAGCTAAAAGAGCTTCGCTGCAGTACGCTCTACGCTCTCCAAGTAGTGTGTTAGGTACTGCTGCCCCTCTGATAAAGTGGACTGCGTGACTACTATAACTACTACTACTACTGCTACTACTACTACTACTACTACTACTACTACTAATACTACTACTACTACGACCACCGCCCCCATCACCACCACCAAGACCACCAATATCAGCACTACTACTACTACTACTACTACTACTACTACTACTACTACTACTACTACTACTACTAGTACGACTACTACTATACCACAACTAAAGCTAAAAATAATTACTGCAAACCGCATGATCGACGCCCGTGCGCAGAGCCGACGTCTATTGCGCAGCGAGCGGCAGCCATCGCGGGCGAGCCAGGCTGCGTAATTTATGCGGTGACCGAGCTCATAGTGTTGCCGCAGAGCATTTCGCGTAGCTTTGTTTTCATTTTGATGCTTCTTTCACTCTGCTTTCTTTGCCACCGCGGCTCCGCTTGAAATATGAGGCCAATCAGTGAGCAGCAGCGAAGAACATTAGCGTGTGCCGCCATCTGCGTACACGCCGAACGGTGCAAGCACCGGCGAGCGAATGGAAACGGGGCCCGCATCTCGCGGGATCGCGTATATCTGCCGAAGTTTAGCTGATTGCTTCGCGCGTCACATACGTTACGATAGCACGGCCCACCATTCGCGTGTATCTTTCTCCGTTGAAGTCTTTCTCGTTTGTTCTCGCTCCTACCTCTCGGTTTATTTCGCATGGACAAGTTATACGTGTGGCGATTATACCGGTGACACAAACACCGCCATCGCGTCTTATCAGCTGGCTTTGAGTAGAGACCGGGCACTATAATTACTTGACAAGTATCGCAATCGTGTCTGCCGCCCGGTTATGCTCAGATGCCTACGGGTTGGCGTAGTCTACTACACCTGCTCACAGTTGTGTTTAAGAATCACCAACTAAGGATCCTAGAACGTGCGTCAAGTGTCCACCTGGCTGCGCACGATGTGAGGTCTTACGAGATGCTGCAGTTGGGCTTCGGAAGTGTAGGTATACTTTCCAATACGCCAAAGTATGTTGTTCTTCCTTGCTGATGGGCACCTTCTATGGTAGAGGAATATATAGAAAACAAGAAAAAAGGAAGTTGTTTGTGTCAAATGCTCGAGCCTTCCTTTTTCTTTTTGTGCGCGTGTGGTGCACCAACGTGAAACTAAAAGGCTATTATCTGGCACCGGTAGTTTTATTAGGAATGAAGAAGAACATCGTCAACCAAACAAGCGCGAGAGCATCGTACAGAGTTTCATTTAAGACTGTACATATCAATGTGGCTGGCTCATAATTTGCGGATGGTGGTAGAATTAAGTACGGGGTTTTCATCGAGATATTCATCGAGAATACGTAGAAGTGGACAACCAGCTTCAACATAAACAAACCTACAATCAATACTTGCAGCACTTCCATTACAAAGGAGCACATGGCGTTTACTTGATGCTCCATCATCGCCAATACAATTTTTTAGCAGATCTTTCGAATAAAAACAACAACATTGGTTTAGCCAGCAATGTAACTTGATATTAACGATATTGAAGTGGATATCGTACTAAGCAATGCAAAAGCCAGGCAGAGCTCTATATTCCGTCACATATTTCGCGAGCACGAGATATTTCGCGAAGCTCGGCTGATTTGCACGGAATGCTGAGAGGCGAAAGGCGGTATCAGGACGGGGCCATTCCTAAAATGCAGTGGGCATGAGGAAAGAGAAAGGGGGGAG